AGAAAAGTGATGGGAATCTGAGCAGAAAGCTCTGTCACACCTTGTCCTTGTGCAAAAATTCAAATCTAGCCTTTCAACCAGGCAGTATCTACGCATGCTCTAATCACTGACAGCATAAAGCTGTGCACAGTGCTTGGGTTTGAGCTCCAAAATTCATATTCCACCTCAGCTCATCCCAGCTCAGGAAGCACGGCCCAGAGGATGCAGCACCAGATTCTCCTTAGCCCTTGCACTACAAGGAGGAAATAGTGGGAGCTTAGGGTCAGAAGCATGGAGGATACATTTGTTGTGTGTTTAAGCTGTGTTGCTGAAGATGTTTTGCTCTGCTTTGCGTGTGTGTCTGTTCCAGATGGTTTTCCTTGTGTTTAAAAGAAATAGGCATACTTAAAATCTACTTTACAAAACCTCAGCAAATTAACACTGATCTTTTCCAGACAATTCTTCAAATGAATGTTTTGCAAATGCCTCCTCACAGCATGCAAAGATTTAGATACGCTGGGAACTGGCTCCACAAAGGATGCTCTCTAACAAGAGGAATTTAAGCACTGAAACCAGTTCAATTTGCCGCTTTTTGATTTTAATATAAAAAGAAATACTTTCTGCAAAGAAAGACTCAGCTTTCATCACCAGAACCCTAGTAGAGACTTCACAGGGTAAACCAGTTCACAGATAAGCACCTTCCATAAACATGACACATCTCTTGGCTTATAGAGGCTCTGGAGAAGCAAAGAACAGGCTGTGCTGACATCTGGTGGCTTTCACTGCAGGCAGAGTTCATGGCAATAGGTCTTGGCTTTTCACTGCCCTTTTTTTTTTTTCCCCCTGCTTTCCTGACGTAACTCTTTCATTTCCTTGCAACATGCAAAGCATTATGACAAAAACATTTTTGTTTCCACTGACTGGTAAACAGTGCTGTCCTGTGCGAAGCAAGAAAAGAGTCTTTGTTGTGCACTATCAGTTACAGTGTAATATGTCTCCATTTCAAAGCATATTTTTGCACGAAGAAATTTTTTTTAAATGTACATTCACTGTCACAGGAAATGCGGCTATTGCATATCAGATGAGGTGCAAACCTCACCATTAAAGCACTGCAAATCAGCAGAAGCGGCAGCAAGAAGCAAAGGGAAGTGGTTGGGGAAACGTTCGAAGCTGTGTCTGTTTCTCTGACTCAATAGGAAATGGGGAGTAGAGAAAAGTCAATATCCTGATAAAATGAAAAGCAACAAAAGTTGTCTGCTGGGTGTTTCTTGACTCATTAATCACTTGCAAAGCTGTGCCAAGTAGTTCTATGGAAAGGAAGCAATGGAAGAGGGATCAGGTGCCAACCAGGAAGCCTAAGCTCAGTCCAAACTCTTCAATAAACAAAAGTGTGTGTTGGACTTAGGCATTTGTAATGCCTCCAGTCATTCCTGCTCTGTATCTGGGATCCTATCATCACAGGAGACCAAGAGTGAGCATCTATGTTCTAGTTTTAGCTTCTTGATCTTTGGACACTCAGGATTTCTGTAACTATCAGCTTCCAAGGACAGGGTCCATGGATGTCTCATCATGGCTGTGAGAACTCCTGGACTGTTACTTGCAGGCTCATTTTTAAATAAGTGATCTGTCAGAGGATGTTAAATACTGCCAGGGAGTGAAAGAGAAACACCACAGCTTACAATATATTTCTGAATCACCTTTAAGTCACAATGTTTACATCAGATAAAGCAGTTAACTCTAAACGTGGTGCTTATCAGATCTTTGAGTTCTCCTTTATGCCACTGGTCCACTTAGCTGTCCATGTCAGCAGATTTTTCTTAACTTTGCTTCTTCAAAAGGCAACATAACTACCTCTGGGCAGAAAAATAATTAAAACTGTTGGATGCAGAAAGTATAAAGTGACAAAGCCAGAAAAAAACAAGATGCCTATTGGAGCAGTTCATTAATTCAATTCCAAAATTATTAGAAAGCACCATTTTTATGTGTTCTAGTGTTTATGTGTTTAGTTCTATAGAAAACAGCACTGCTCTGGTATATCTGCACCAAGAGTGTTGTACATGCAGATTTTGCTGTTTATTCAGTTGCACTGTTACCTCTTCAAACTATTTATGATAATTCCTTTCCAATTTTTCTCTCTTCTTCAATAGCAATGCTTTCACACCTCCAAATCAAAACTCCAGTCTCTCTGAAGTGATTTTTTTTCTTAAAGAAATAGCTAAGCCTGACACACTATCCCAGGGTTCCAGTTTGACTGCCTTTCCCTGCTACAGTGTTATAAGCCAGGATAAATTTGCTTTTGTTCAACAAAAAAATGATAAACAGTTCCAAGAACATCCCACTATAACACAAATCCTTATTAACCCCACAATGCCTAAGACCACTGGCAAAGCAGCATGACTTACCCCACAACACCTTTGATTAAAAGCAGCTGTAAACCAATGTAGTTCATGATTTGTGCCAGGATAACAAACAGTACCAGCTCTATGATTTCCTTCAACAGAAAGAGGATGTCAAAACAACATGGGCAAAGATATCTCAGTCTTTACTAATTCATTAGCCAGTGTTCAGAGATTTCATTCAGTACTCAACAATCCTGGAATAAAACCTACTTTGATACAAGGCTGTACCATATCCCACCAAAAAAATGTTGGAACAGCATCTTTCCTAACAAGTTTTGAGTTATTATCTGTGGTTTTGTGGGGTTTACTTGAAAGAAGCATTACTGAAAGTCCTATTAAAAACAAACAAACAAACAAACCAACCAAAAAAAAACAAAAAACAAAACACCATAAAACAAACAAAAAAATACACAGTAGAAAAACACTTCAGGAAGAAACCAGTTTACAAGTATGGTCATTGAGAGCATTACAAAAGGCTCCACTGTGCTGCTGGAGAAAGAAGCCAATGAAGTGCCATTGCCAGAGCAAACTGAGCTCACAAAGCAGTAGTTTAACTCTTCCCTTAGAAAGATAAGTTAATCTGGAGTGTCAGTCACATCATTCTTGAATATTTGCAGAACATTTACAGTTTCTCTCACTGATGCTGTAGAATTGCTCTTCCACTGTACCACACTCGATGTGACACTGCAAGTTTGGAACTGTACAAGCCCAGAAAGGATCATTGTTAAAATGTGGGGTCTCTTTCAAACACAAATGCTTTAGAGAAAGGGGATCACAAAACTAATCCAAATCTGTCTGAAAGGGCTAGAGACCAAATTCAAATCCCCAGAACAGGAGGAAAAGAATGGCAGTTCTTGCTCAGTCTGGGAGTCTGCACAGACACCATTCAGATGCCTTGGCAGGCCAGCCTCATACACTGATGTCTCTGGTACACTCTCTCTTCTTACAAAGTTACCTTCATTATTGTAAATCTGGCTGAACAAAGATGAGATAGTCTGGAGTGCAATGCATCAGCTTGAACTGTCTGAGAAGATGAGCACAAAAATCTGCAAACCACAGAAATCTGCAAATATGAAAGACTGTGTAAGAAGGCAGCTGAACATGGGCCCATGTTTGGGGAGCAGGTACCAGCAACAGGGAGGCTGCCTGGACAGAATGAGAAGGTAAGAGGTAAATTCTCCTCATAAATTCATCAGGGCACGCATAACATCTACATCCCAGAACAGAGGTGACTTCAGTGACACAGGACTCCTCCTTACAAGATAAAGATACAATAATTTAATCACAGTTGAGAAGTGGTAGAGCTCTTTCACTAGAGAATAAAACTCTGAAGCAAAGCTGTTGGTGAGTAAAACAGCCTAAACCACAGAGCTGTCAGGAAGGATGAGGAATATGAGGTGGGAGCAATACACAGAGGGTTCTTTGGCCTCACATCTAAAATAAAGGGAAATTTTACTTAGATACTTTGGAAACCACACATGTCAATAAAAACAATAATCAAAGCTCTAGGAAATGGCAGGGTTACTCCTCCAGAAAGTCTCATGGATATAGCATTGTCAGCTCTCACCCAGAGCTCAGTGTAGATGTGTAGGTCTAATACAATTGCACATGAAGTCTCATTCAATTCAGCAGAGCCTGTGCCCAAAAACCCTGCTAAGGCAGAGAGCCAGCATCATTCCTGTTTCAGTGAAGGGAGGCTTAAAGGCACAGCATCCCATGTTGGTGCTCCCTACAAAGCATTTCATAAGTGATATCTACCTAAAGGTACTTTATTGGATGCATGATTATTTTCTATTATTCTTAATTTGGTTCATGTAGTAGGAAAGCCCAGCATTACCAAGAACAAACACATAGCAACAGAGAATTTGGCTCATGGAAAGCATAAAGGAATCTATTCCAGTCTTGAAGACATGTGGCTCACAGACTGGGCCTCTTCTCTCAAAAAATGCAATCATTCAGGTTTTATTCTTAAAACTGAAACCATGAACTTTCACTCCCCTTGGCAAAATGCCCAATTCCTACTTAGGCACACTGATGTCCTGGCAGAACTTGAGCTGCTACCCCTGTGTGAAGGTGTCTCCATGAAGTAAGGCTAGAAACGAGCTGGTCCCTGGACACAAAAGCCTCCCAACAGACATTTGTGCCTTTCAGCATGCTAAAGAGGGCTGGAAGAGAGGATAATGGAAAGCATTCACCGCTGAAAAGCATGAAACACTGGCCAGTCTGCACTATTTAAACAAAAGAGACCAAACATAAAATGAGAGAAGTAAAGCTGTGACTAGAAACACAGAGATTCTCTTCTCAAGTTCTTTAAAATACCCAGTGATTTGGTCATAAAACATTTTATTTCACTTGAAGGAGGTTTCACTTCATTTTCATTAGAAGTTAGTACTGTGATGGGATCTTCCTGTGCATTCTGTAATTTCCACATGCAGTTCCTGTCTGCTGTGGGATCACACCAAGAACGTGTGTCATGGGTCAGGGATAGCACTGAGGCTCAAGAGCCAAGCACAGCAAAAAGAAAAGGGAGGAAGAAAAAAGTCATTTATGTCCCCCAGTTTTTCTTCTCTCAGCCTTAGAATATTGACAGAAATTAATTTCTATAGGAAGGGAATTGCACTGTTTGCAAAGAAATCCTCTAGGATTTATTGATCTTTAAGAAAAATCTCATTAAGCAGAATAAGGAAAATTTACAACAGGTATGGGAAAACAAAACAATCTCTTGGGATCTTCACCAGGCCGAAACAGGATTAGCTCTGTAGTTCCTGTAATCTTCCTCACAGAAGAATGCTAATTCCGTCTCATTTGCTAGAAGGAATAAAAAATTAAATATTTAGCACACTAGTAAATGAACCACCAACAGCCAGCTATTTAGAATCTTAGAAGACAATTAGCAGCTTCATGGTCAAAGACAATTATAAATCAGCACACACTTTCTTTTTCTTCCTCATCATATTTTTGAAAAAGGTTGCCAGTATTAAAGGTGTCACTTAACCTCATTAAAAAGCAACACAAATAAACAAAACCACCAAGAACATGAATGTATAGAAATAAATATGTACATAAGAACCCTCAAGATTTGTTTAACACAATCTTCAGAATTGTTTGTATAAGCATTCAGCAAATTAAGTGATTGCATTTCTAACACCTTCAAATGCTAGGAAAGTAATGAAGTGTGATACATTCTTTTTTGTGCATTTTTCTGTCAGGAAAGGGAGAAAGAAACTTTTTTTTCTCCATTAAATTAGCCTGTAGGTATAATAATTTAATACTTAGAGGATCAGTAGAATATTTTACAGATCACTTTACATTCTCCCTCATGACCCATCAAAATATGTGTCTGAAGAAGTTAATTTTTTGCCCTGCTGATGATTAATTCATGAGGCTTCGACAATATGCAAAGTGAAAGACACAAATTGGCTTCTCCAGCAATACCTTCAAATACCTCTAATTATTCACTGGGGATATGGCAGAGCTAAAGGACCCACAAAGGTTCAGAACAGTCACAATTCTTTCAACCCAGTAGGTCAAGGACTTCCTCTTCTAAAACAATAAGTCAGCAACATTACTAATTCAGAACAGAGACAAATCTGATGGAATGCCTTCACAATTATTAAACATGGAATTCTTTAAGGTGCTGAGCCAATAAATTCCACATTCATTTTTTAAATTAAACCTCAAGTTAATGAAGTCTGCCTGTCTTGTAAAAAAAAAAAAAAAAAGAGTAGAAGGGATTTTAGAATCTCAACTAGAAAACAGACAAGACTATTTGTAATGAATATTGAACACTTTATTAACATACACCCTTCCAGAAAAAAAAAAAAAAAAAAAAAGCAAGGATTAACTTTGCTGACTGGATAATAACTGTAATAATAATCACTACTACAGAGGCTTTCCTGAGGATACTTTTCTAATGTCCTCATAATTTATAACTCTCTAGCCCAACCCTGTATAGTGCCAAGGGCAATCAACTGCAGCTTAGGAAAAATGTTCTGCATGTATCAGAATTTCCCAGATTTTCTAATGGTGATTCTGATTGTTTTATTCTAGTAAGTCTTGTCCAGACTAGAGGTTGGAAAAAATTCATATCTCAATAGGAGATTTCAAATTTTCTTACTGATTCAAAGAAAATGTACAAAATTATCATTTTGTACAAAATGAGGACCAGTGGTACATGATACCACTTCCTTGGCTTACTCCTTTCTACTTCTTGTTGAAGGAGAAAAGAAAAATCTTCAAGATTTTACTACAAAGACCCCACTCCTAACTTAGCTAATTTTCACATCAAGATACACTGGAACATATCCAAATTCAACATAACATAAAGGCACATTGCATATTTTAAAAATGGGTTTTCCTCTTCTATCACAAATATATTAATGACTAATGACTGCTGTTATTCCGAAAAAAAGAAAAAAAAAGCAGCTTTAAATCATTTTCTGCCCTAAATGAACCATCCCTCCCTTTGTACAGAGACAGAACAGGCTGCTACATTCCTATCTCCTTTCACTGTAACATTTAATCTGATGTTTTGACACCTTTTTTGAGATCACATCCAACTGTTTCACTGCTGTAGCTACAAACCCAATTTCAAAGAGATAATATATACAAATACTTATCCATACCTTTTTGAAAGAAGACAGCTTTGTTATTTCTAATTCAACATTTGGCACTCTCATCAGTCCCTCTCCTGAACTGTACTGCCTCTTATGCCTTACATAGATAGAGATCATGGTTAAACGAATTTTCTGCTAACTAAATTACAAATCTGCAAGGCTTGGCTGCCAGTAATCCTCGCTTCCCCCCTACCCCCTGCAGACAAAAAAGATCTGGTGTAGAAAAAACTATGATTCATATTACAGGAACACTCAAAGACCTTTAAGGAAAGATATATTGGGACCAGTTGTAGCTCACACCAGATAGTAACATTGAAGAGACATCCCAAGTTCACTTAAACCCAGAAAATAAATCGCAGGAAACAGGAGAGCCAAATAACCTACGAGAAAGAAATCCCATTCAGTAGCTGGGGAGCCATCAGTGAGCAGCAGGAGCAGGAGGGAGCCTCCTCTGTGAAGCCCCTGCACTTAGAGCACAGGCAGTTAAAGCTTTCCAGCCAGGCAAATCAGATTCCAATGAGCAAACGTCCATATCAAGGTGGAATGCAACCACATCCCTTAAGTGCCCTGCTGCCACAAAGTCATTTAGCCACATTTATGAGAAGCCCAAAGGACATCCAGGGACCATCAATTTTGTCATGACAGACATTTCTTTACATTATTACCAAAAGACATGCCCTATATGTAGTCTCCTGTCAAAATGTGAGAAATCAGGTCAAGTTTCAACTCTTTGCTATGTTCAGCACATTCTCTAAATGATACTGCTCAGGCTTTCCTGAGCAATCTGACTATCAGGCACTGTATGCTGCACATTAAACAAATCTAATCTTATTTCATTATTCCATGCTGGTTCCACTACTTACATTTCTAACCAAAACATCAGTTTAAATGTTACTGATAAGACTAAGCAGACACGGTACTAATAACCTATCTGTCAATCATTTAAAATTACTCTCAGCAGAATTATAAGCATACCCTCTAAAAATCACAATTTGCATTCTGAACATTTGGAATGCAGATACCTGCTGCCCTCAGACCAATGATTTGAATAATGCTTTCCTGAATAATTATCAAGTCGTGTAAAGAGCATCAGAAATAGCATTTACTTTTCAGCAGCCTGTCCAAACATAATCAGCCAGTTATCAGTTTAATGCTACCACAAGGAACAGCATCTTCAGTCAATACAAATGTACTCCTACCTACTCCAGCTGCTTTCAGTGTGCTGTCTTCCTTCAAAATCAGTTTGTCATCATCTTCCAAACTCACTACAAGCTCACCAGTCTACAAATCAGAGAACCAGAATACAAAGATAAGAAAAATTTACTGATTTCCTCTGCTCCTGTCTTGTTTGACAGTGCAGAGATCTGCCTGCATCAAAGCATGCAAAAGGGGAAGAACACAGCTAATAATCTTACCTTAGATTTGTGTGCTTGGTGAATAATCTTCATTGTATCTGAAAGAAAAAACAGTGTTTTTCTAAAATAAGGCTTAATAAGCAGACAACACTGAAAGCTGTACTTGGGGAAAGACAAACAAACAAGGGGGGAAGCTTCAGAATCTTTTGTTATTAATAATTTTGTGTATTCAACCTGAAAGAGGAGAAAACATCTTAATCTCAAAGTCCTGCAGCCACAGTCAATGCAACATTAAGGTACCACATCCTACTGGGCTTCTGTCTGCTGGCTGAATTACAATAACCAACTAATGACCATCTCAATTGCCAGTCAAAACACATCAATTTAAATGCCACTTAGAGTGTTTTAACTTAATAGGTTTTACACATGCAATTGGGGCAGGACCAACAGCATTTATGCACTGTCAACTGCTACAGGTAAGTTGACAGGCAGCAAGTGATTAAGACATAGTAACCTGATCACTTCAGATCATCCCTTGAAATTCTCCTTCTCGTGAATACAACACCCACCATCCACAGTAGAAATTTCGTTAAGCAAGTTGATTTTGCATAAACATCTACATTTTACATAAACATCTACAGCCTCTTCTCTTTAATGCTACACCTTCTTCAATAACTTTTATCTTTCGTTTGTGCAGTGAAGTGCTTATAGGAACTTTTTTTAAAGTACCACTTTCTTTTGGCAACAAAGGCAGGGCTTTGCTAACAGAAGGGAAAAACAGGAAAATAACACAGTCACTAAAGCAACTGGATGAGTGCAAAGATCCAGAGAGAATGGCTTAAAGCCATGACACGTTAAAAAAAAAAAAAGATTGAACTCTGAAGACTGTGTTTGAACAAATTTGGAGTAACACATCAATCCCTTCCCAGCAAAGAAGAAAAACCGGTTCTGCTTGTCTACTTATTTCCTGTTCTAGTTTAGTTTCGTGCATTGAGTGAACATTACATGATGAAATAGTCTGGTAAGAGAAGGATGCAGCAAAGTTAACTATTGGCTAGACCAACTTTCAAATTACCAGGAGCAAGTATTCAGATGTTCAGAATAACAGAGATCACATTCTCACTCAGAGGTTTGTTTCCATACCATTCTGGCTCATTTTGAACACTATTTAAAACATTACATAAGGTAAGAAGTACTCTGTACTCTCACTGCAGAGGTCACTGAGAAGGCAGCCTTGGGATGTTGGAATATCTGAGGTATTAGAAGCAAGACAGACACTAAATTGCAATTATCAGGATCCATCTTGCACAGAAGCATTACAAAAAGACCAAGCAATCACAGAAAAAATATACTGCAATCATGTAACCTTTCTGCTACAGCAAATAAACCCAACGTGTGCCTGTTAGTTTTAGGCTTCTCTGTCTACTTGGATACATTCTCTTTCTGTAGTCTTTGTCCATTCATGCCCTGAAATATTGTCTCAGTTTTACATGCTGAGAACTCCACTACTGGCACCCGGCATTTACCATGGGTTCATCAGAGCTATTAAATGGCTTCATTAACTCTTTTACAGAGATGAAACTATAGTCTCTTCTCATAAGGTAAGTCCTCTGACTGGCCTTTGCTATTTCATCCCCATTTTGTCCTACTCAATCATACTGCCAGTTTTTTATCTTGCCTTTTCTGATAATAGATCTATCATGACAACTGCTGAGTTTACCACTTTCACAAGAAAACCACTTTCTAAGTGATTTTATGAGCTACCTGCCATACTGTTCCACATTCATGGATGAGAGAAATAAAACTAAGCAGCAGCTTATGGAACAAGTTGCCACCCAGACTGCCAACATCAGTGAAAATATGGCAATGACAAGGTAATAAGATTGACTCATAAAAGTTCTAGACCAAGAACAAGAATAATCCATACAAAGAAATGAAAAGAAAATGGAAGTCAGAAGCTTTGAGATGTGAATTGGAGCACTAATACAGGAGCATAAATGTGAGGGCATTATATATGATGCTAAAACAAAGTGGTGCTGAATTCTACAGGGAAGGAAGCTGAAACAGGCAAGGTGAGAGACAACCAAATCTGAGATTTCTGGCACTGCCAAAAAAACAGGAGAAAAAGTATGGCTCTTACTGGCACTATATATGCAGAAGTCTCACTGCCCTTTCCTCACAAAAACATAAGAAGGACGGCAGAGCACTGTAGAGACAGCAGAGATGCCAAAAACACGAACCTGGATGATTCACAGCCAGAGGGGAAGGTGAGTAACCTGGCTTTGATTTTCCTGTATGAAAATTTTCCTGCAGTTAGCACCATCACAGCAAGGGTGAAGATCCAGCAACTGGTGCAACAGGTTTTAGTTATGCTCAGTCCTACATGGAATAATCAGGCCCTCAGCCACCAGATCTGTCTTGGGAAAAGCTAAACTGATCTTCAGGTGCTGAAAGAACTAGCAGCTGGGATAGCAGCACCAGGGATATAACTGAGAGCAGCAGTTCTAGACAGGAGCCCCTCAAACTACCAAAGCCACAGATGGGGTGAAGGGCACCTCCAGATTCCAACTTACACTTACATGTTAAGACCTTAAGCAACACATTAAAAATAATAAAAACATTCAAATCCCTGCCACTGATGCATCATCAGTCTTAATCCCTAACTTTTTCTGGCTCCAATTTGCACTCTCTGTTTCACCATCAGCGGGAGCACAAAATGAAATCCTTCTTTTTTTTTTTTTTAATAGGCAAATAGAGTTTATTACCCTTCACATGCATTAAGCAGATTTCTTGCTTAGTTCTTTGAATCACCACAGAGGAAGGAGTTTGTCAACTCTAAGAACATAGGAGACAGAGGATCACTTGCAGGGAAACTCCAAGGGAACTTTGAGAATTGCCAAGTTTAGGAAAAGACATGTGACTGATATCCGAGTTTACAAACTCCAAGAAAGGAAGTAACAGTCTATTTAAAAAGTTTTCTCTGTCCCAAAGGGATGAATTGGACATGTTCAGGCCAATTTGCACAAAAAAGGAAATATACATATAGCTTTACATTAGAGGATAATGTCAGTTTAAATTTCACATCATGCTATTTCACACCACCAGCCTGTACTTAAGAGCTTTCATATCTACTTGGAGCAAAGTTCCCCTGTTTCTCTTATATTGTGTAAGCTATTCAAGTGTATACGTCTTAAGCATTTTCTCCTTCTTGCCTTCTGTTTCACCATAAGCAAATAGATATTGAAGAACATAAGTACACAGAGAACTACTATTTCAGTGTTTTGAGATCACAAGCTGCTCATTAGGGTACAGACAGAGTTAAAAAGCACCTATAAAAGTAATAAAAAATTTATGTCAAAACCCATCAGTTCTCAGTAGCAATTAATGTAAACCATACAGCCTAATTCAAAGATTAAAACAGATCTTCAGAATAATGGTCAAATTCTGCAGACAAGATCCCAGTGGCATAACCCCAGCTACAATAGCTGGATAGAGTTGCAAATGTCTGCAGGCACTGGTACCAACATTTGTATTGTACAGCAGTTATCTTTTAAGTTGTATAAATGCTGGTGTAAAATATTATGTGGTCATTTGATAGTAATTACAACAAGAAAAATAAAAAACACCTACCATACTTGTAATTTTTAAAAGGAGGAGGAAGTCCTGCTCTTGAAGACACATCTATTAATATAAAAGCACAAAGTTAAAACAAAATTCTCTTTTTAAATTATTTCCAATACTTCATTTTCCATTATTGGACCAAGTATGAATCCCCTGGGCAGCCTTTACATCAAAAAAAATCTGCAACATAGGAAACTTGTTTGAGCATCAAATGCTGAAACACAGCCTTTGGCTCAGATTCTGTAGTGACTCCATATGTGAATAACTTCATTTTAGCATGAAGTCCCTCTGAACAAAACACCCCATGAGGACAGTGAGTCAGTACAATTGGGGTATGATCAAGAGAGTCTGATCCTGCAGAATTCTGCCAGGAACATCCTTTTAATGGCTTGCCCAGCATCTCTCTTTACCTTATACAAACAGCTGACAACTGTTATTCAGAATTGAACGTTTGGTACATGCCATGAGAACCAGCCATGAAAAGGAAGCCAAGGTGTAGAAAATTAACTCTTTAGCTGCTTGCAGGACACAGCCATGATTTCTTCAGTAATTTAACCACTTATCTTAAACTGCCTCTTCAAAACAGATTAAAATAAAGGAAGGAACAGGGCTTTTGGACTCCTGTGGAACGAGGTTCTAAAAAGTCTCATTCAAAACATTAACTTTGTCTCAAATAACAGTGAGCTGCAATACTGCACACATCAAAAGCAAGTTTCATAGCATTGGTTTTTATTTTCTTGTTCATAACAGCAGCTGTGCCATATGTTCTGAAAATGCCTGCAGTTTTCCAAAAGTATCCTAAGATCTTGCCATGTCTATCACTGTTTAGAAGTATGGAAATTGCCAAATACAAGACACTCATGAGTCCCAGGGCAATGTCCTAGGAGTTGCTCAAATGTTATCATCTATAACAGCTCAAGACTTGTTTAAACTGACTTAATGCAAAAAAAAAAACAAATTATGTTATTTTGTACCCTTTGCATGTCTCCACTGAGGTGTGTGGAAATACACCTGCAGGATCAAGGGTAACACCCTAGTTACCAAGTCACTGTGTGGGCTGGTCTGCAGTACTTAACTTTTAGATTCACTGTCATTTTCAACCAGGCTTCTAAAAGAGAAAGCCCACAGATAAACAAATCTGCACCACAGAGCTCAAGATGGAGACAGAAACTCAGAAACAAACATGCACAGTGAGACCACACAGTGTCAAAAACAAATTTTTAAGATTCTCTCTTCTCACAAATAGCAAACAGACTTGCATTCCCACATTCCACATACTTGTGTAGTTAGGATCAAAGACTTTTTAAATTCTATTAATTTATTCCTAATAATTTATGAGTATTTGCCTGACAGCACCACTCAAGGAGCCTGAGGTACTGAGCCAAATGCAGCAATGCCCTTGTTTGTTTCTTTTGGACTAAATGTGGGGATTTGGGCAGGGGGAGCAGTCCATCCAAATTCAAGCATGGCACACCAACCATGGAAGCTCTTATTAACTCCTGACCTTTCATCCAAGGAAGGAAAGCACACAGGTCATGTAAACACAAATGTGGCATCTCTATCAAAGCCACAGAATTCCCATTCGTTTGCTACCTTCCACCTTCTTGTGCAGGGACAGCAACATTGGGGACTGAAGGGAAGGAATGAGCCCTCCCCATCTTACCCTTCCGCACAAAAGCCATGAAGTCCTTCACTGTCTGATCCAGGGGAACTCCATGGTACACCACGGGCCTGAAATTGCGGTGCTCAAAAGAGCGGACAAGACGAACTGTGACGGTCGAGCTTCCTGCTGACATGAGAATTAACTCTGAATAACCTGGGAAACATTAAAGGGAGGAATTATTGCCTTTCTTCTGCTCATGAGCATGGCTGGAAAACGAGGTGTAGGTGGGCTTCAAGCAAAGAATAAAACGTGGTGAGAAATCCAACCAACAGCATTGTGCCTTTCAGGATTTCACTTTATGATTCCTGTTACTGGGGCAGTAACAGGTCTTAACACAAACAGGGCATTACTGACATTGCACACCACACACTCCAGTATCTGAGCTGTGTAATGCCACACCAGACTCCCTACTAAACATTCAAAAGTGCTATGGATAAATGCAAGTGTGTTGTGTAGGTTTTAAGTGACTGAAGACTTTACCTGCTGGGCGACTAACCCTATGTTCTAGAAGAATGTCCTAATACAAACAAACCCAAAGACTTTTTTTAACATACTTATGTTGTAGAGAGTGTAATACTCTGAAAAATGCCTAAGTTGTTACACAATACTCATTTTCACCTCCCCAGGGCAACTGAAAAACCACCCCCACATACACAGGCAAGTAATTTTCCTGATGCATAATTATGGGATTTAATTTATAATAGTCGGTCTCTAGAATGGCTCTGTGGGCTTATACTAGAGAGCAGAGCCTAAAACAGAGTGGCCTTGTCAACCCAAAACCCTCTTCAGACAAGCCCATGTATTGTTCCATTGGGTTTTTTCTCTCCACAGGAAAATAAGCTCTTTTCTACTTTGACAAACTTCTCTGGTTTTGGCGCTGGGCGTCCCTCAGCTTTCTGTCCACGTGCTGAAGTGCCATAGCTGCTGCAGAAATGAGCAAGGACTGCAGCCATGTGCTCCAACATCAGCACGACCTTTGCACCTCCCACCCCTGAGCAGGCTGAGATCAGCCACCACCTCCAGTCCTGAGAGGGAACCTTTCACCTATTCACCCCTTATGTTCTTTTTTTGTGTGTCTGGTTTTGGGGTCTTTTTTTTCCCTTTTTTTTGCTGTAGGGTTATTTAAGTGCCCCACCATCATGCAGGTGCATCCCAACCTTGGCTGTATTTGTCCCGGCCATAGCCTGGTAAAGTAAACTAGCAATATTTTCATCAAGTACTATTTGCAACTTGTTTTTACACCACCTTGGTTAATAACCCCCCGAGTTGCAATTTCATTTTAAATGAGATGTGTGTGTCACACACCACACAAGTAACACGTGCCAATCAATTTTAAAGCATGCTTTGCACCTGGAAATAATTTATACTAAACAGCAAAGATGGATGTTCCCTTGGCGCTATTCCACATGGCCTGGTGACTTGGAGGGGTGCAGTAAAGGGCACAGCATTCAACTCACTTGCTCCTAAGCAGCATGTTAAAACACTGTGGCAACCAGAATCGAGAGCTCAATCAGAAATCGCCAATTTTCACATTTACTCCTCAAACCGATCGCACGTTGGGCTGAGACCATGTGCTACCCCGCACCCCCACGGGAACAGGAAGGCAGGTGGGAGACACTGGCGGCCCATTCCTCTGGGAGAGAGAATCCTCCCCGGACCCGCAGCAGCACCAGCCCCATTAAGAACTCTCAGCCTCACCCCGTCGCCCGCCCGCCTGCGCCCGTTACCGCTCTCCGCCGCCACTTCCGGGTCCCGCCCTGCCCGCTCTGCCAATCGCGTCCTTCCGGTGGCACCTCCGAGACGCGGGATTGGCTGCGAGAGCTCTGTCCCGCCCCGCCTCCGCCCCGCCTCCGCCCCGCCCCCGCCGTTGTTTCTCTTCATGCCCTGATGAATGGGAGGCACCCGCACGGCCTCCGTATTGGCTCCGCGCCCGCCCTGCGCCCGCCCCCGGCCCGCGCTGATTGGTGCTCGCCGTGCCCGAGGCGCTGCGATTGGCCGGCGGCCGGTCTGGCGAGGGGTGAGGCGGGCGCGCGGCGGGGGCGGTGAGGCAGAAGCGGCGGGGTCGGGACCGTGCTGTGTTCGTCGCAATGACCGAGGTGCGGGGGGCTGTGGGGAGCCAGGGGGAGCTGGGGGCTCCAGGGACTCCGGGTACCTTCCCCTCACTCACCCGCTGCCGCCTTTCCCCCAGGCCGCGTTCCAGAAAGCTGCCGAGGAGGTGAAGCAGCTGAAGTCGCAGCCCACGGACCAGGAGATGCTGGAAATCTACAGCCACTACAAACAGGCCACGGTGGGCGACGTGAACACGGGTGGGTACCGCCCCGGCTGCCCCCGCCGGCGGCGCTGGAGACGCTTCCTGAAGCAAAATCTCTCCCCCGTTGCGCTTCCCTCAGCCAAAGTGACTCAGTGCCGACTTGGCACGGATTTGTGTGCGGGAGGGCACAGGCTGACCCGATAAGGCTTTGTGCAATTCGTGGTTTTTAGATTAACCCGGCTGCCGCCGTCTGTGCCGTGCAGTGAGGGCCTGAGAATGCTTTGTTGGGATTGGGATTTTTGGAGACCTCTGTCTATAAGTGGCTGCTCAGGCCGAGGAGCGCTGCTTTAATGCAAACACTTCTGGGTTATACAGTAAGGCAAACGATACAAGGGTGGAATCACAACACTGGAGGGGATGACACATGCAGTTTATTTAGACTGGATTCGCTGCTAAAAATAATACTGGAAAGCAAAACCAGAAGAATAGGAGAAAACTTTTATAGGACCTGCAATTAAATATACTTCAGAAAGACTGTACCAGAAATATGTCTGCAAGTACACAGTGCAAAATGTTTCTGGCCAGTTCTCTCACTACAGTGCTGTCTATGGCAGCTCAACCTTTGGAATAACATTTAAAGTGAAGCATGTCTCTATCGACCTTGTGTAACTCTGGAGTAGCTAGAATTAGAAAGGGAAAAGGTCATTTCTTTGGAGTGCTGGCCTCCTAACCTTGTAGCTGGCAAAGTTCATTGAGCGTCTATTGATTTAAAAGCTGGCAGTGAAGTGTACAGGAAATGGTAATTTAATCTCCTTTTTCCAAAGCTGGCAGCATGAGGGAGAAAAGAAGTGATTTTGGGTTTAAGATGTGATCCTTTTGGTGTGGCTGGACATCAGCATTATTAGTGCTTGACAGGGTGAAACAGTGCTGCAGAGCTGTGAATGTGCCACCATTCCTGCAAGTGTGTGCACTCCTGTGAAGCAGCAGCCAACGTGAGTTGGCCAGAGAAGCAGCCTGTGGGAGGGTGACTGGTGGGATTTGTGCTGGAGAGAAGGGGAGCTGCCAACTGGAGCTGCAGGTCACTGTGCCATGGGAGCTGTACAAGGGTGTTCTGTGGATACTGCCCAGTTCCATTTGTGAGTTCGAAGAATTATCTTTACAGAGAGTGAGAGAGAGGAAGTAAAACCACAAAGGGGACTTGACACGAAGCTTGATACACTTTCTACTTGGCCACACTACAGCCTGCAGTGAAGTGAGTCAGATTTCCAAGGTTTCCAAATGCAGATGCAGAACTATAGGTTAGAAATACAGCACTAACTTGATGATACTGAGTTCTGTGTTACTACAAACAGCTGGCTGTTTTCATGTCTCTGCCTGTAATGGACCTCAGGGTATTTCTGCTTTACTTTAGAGCCTTTCTTCTCTAATTGGATAGCTCTTATGTGACAGCAGGCTCTTCAGAAAGTACAACTAAACCAAATCACAGTAGTTGGTGCTCTTCTGCTCAGATGCTGCTGTCTCAAAGGAATTTGAAGGAGTGTTTCTTCTGCCACCAACCATGGTGTAACATATTCCCCTGAGGTGATCTGCTGGCTACAGGTTAGCAAATAACAGCTGCAGAGATGAGCCATTGTATTTAGTCACCCTTAGGAGCTAGCTAAGCCTTCAAGTGGGTATTACCTACAGCCAGATCACACAAACTAATCCTGCTGCTTATCCTGTCTCTCTCAGAGCGCCCTGGTATGCTGGACTTCAAAGGCAAAGCAAAGTGGGATGCCTGGAGTGCACTGAAAGGTAAGTGTCTGATTAAAGAAATGAATACAATTACTACTGGCAAACTAGTCTGAAAGACACATGTAGTTCAGCAAGAAACAGAATAGTGTAGCTTTTTAATACAAGAGTTCTAGAAGTTCAGAATGCCATGATAATAAAATTTAATTACCTCTGCAAGTCAGAAATAATCCTGAAAAATATGTCCGAAGTGAAAGGGAATTAGGGTGCAAAATGCCCAGCTGGCCTAAGATGTTAAATAAAGAAGAACAATAACAGCAGCAGAAATCTAAATGTGTTTCCCTGTTCCCAGCCTGGTACTCCGAAGACTGAGCTCTCCCTCCAGCTGTTGAGCATCCTTACAGTTAGGAAAGCTTTGGAGGAAACAACTGAGCTCCCAGCTCTAAATGAGGAGCCAAACAAGTGGTCGACAATGGGTCTTTTTTTCTGGCGTTTTAAGGAATAGCTTTCCTGTAGTAATGGTCAGTGACATTAATAAAACTCATACACTGCTCTGTTGCCATCTGTGCAAAAACAGCTTTGCTTGGAAATAGTTTTCCATGACTGACGGGGAACACATTTGTTTAAAACTTTGGCAGTGGATTCTCAGCCAAGTGACCTTCCTGGCCCCTTTTCTCTCTGGTGGCACAGGCTATTGCGAGGAATTGTGACTTGAAAAAGGCATCTCCATCTGTGAAAGGTATCTGACTGCTTCCTGTGTTCTGTCCTTCAGGAATGTCCAAAGAAGATGCAATGAAAGCTTACATAGCAAAAGTGGAAGAACTAAAGGGCAAATATGGCATCTGAGGACTGAATAAATCAGCTACATGCACGCCTGCAACCTGCCTTATTTCTAATAATGTGGAAAACTGGTTTCTAAGAGTAACCTTAGATACCTAATATGTCATAGCCGGTTCTCCTCATGCCTGTAGTTCAGGAGAAATTATGTACCTGCCTAATGTACTGACACGGTATAAATTCCTTCTGGGAACAAAATCTGGAACTCATTAAAGTGCATTTGGTACTTTAGCTATTGTGCTGGTCATCCCTGAGTGTTGCTGTGGGCTCGTCCCGCAGCTGCCGCGTTCCGGCTGCCGAGCAGAGCCGCCTCCCCTGCCTTTGTGCCACTAGAGGGGGTCGGTCACCTGCGTTCGGGCACTGCGGATCCTGCCCGAACCACTCCTTCCCAGGCAGGTGAGTGGCAGCCCACAGAAGCTGGAGCACCACAGAGCTTATCTGGAAAAGGCAATGCTAAGAACAAGGTGCTTGATACTTGTTACCCGGAGCTTTCAGAGACTTAGTCAACAGCTGCCAAATCATCTTTCATAAAACACTTCTGGGACATGTTATTTCCCAACAACAGTGTTGGGCTTCTAGAGAAAAGGCAAATGCTGAACACAAAGCCTTCCCTGGGAAAGGAAAGGTTCCACAGGCCGTGGAGTTTATTCTCTTGAGGCTGTAAAAGAGAATCAACTTGACGTTGCCATGCAATTGGCTGCAGTGAGGGGTGAGTCACATAAAGACTGGCTGAACACTGGCAAGACTGCTGGAAGAGAAAGACAGTGATCATCAGCAAAAGTTCAATTACAAAACACACAGTTGTGACCATCTGCAATAGGCTAATTGTCTTAGTCTGCCTAGTGTAGTGTCTTGGAACTGCTGATGATGGAAAGGGAGGATTTTGCTTTAAAAATGTGACATTGAACTATTCCAGGATAGAACATTTGAGAATGCAATCACAACCTTATACAGTATATTTATATAGTGCTGTACTGATTAGGATCTGAATAGGTGAGGATTTCAAGCACTCTTCAGATAAGCAATAGATTTCTAGAACTACATAGGGATGAAAACTATCATTATGTATCTGTCTAGGTAAATACGGTTTTGTAGCTAGTTATATGTGGTGAGTAGTAGATTTAGAGATTGCTTCACAGGCTTTCAAAAATTGTAACTTCGCCCTTTACTGCTTTTTGTCCTTTAAAATGTGTTAGGATAAAGAGGAAAAAAAAGAACAAAAAGGCAAAGTTTATTCTTGTTTATCCTTGTTCTTCTGGGTAAGTAAAATAAGCATTTGGGGTTTTTTTTACCTGCTCTTGTATCTGTTACTTGAGATTGTCATAATTAAATTCACTTTGCAAGAGAGGGGTAAGAGCAGATGTTCACGATAAGAAGTGCTTTTACCTCTCCTCTAGCCCTAAATTCCACATCTACAGCTCCATCTTGGCAGCTGTATTTCGTGAAGCTGGTTATCATTGAAGGATTCTGCCAACCTTTACCAGAAAAGAGCTCACACCGGCAAATGCTCCCACACTGCTCGTTTGTTGGCAGCTGATGCACTGTGAGCACACTGTGCTTTGCCAGCATTTTTTCTGTCATAACAGGTGTAGTCAGAATTTCTGACTGCTAAAGTAGTGGAGTTGGGTCTAACGGATGGGCTGGGAGTAGCAAGTTCTATATCCCAGTTCTCATTTGGATTAGTTTCCTCTGTGACAATTAATTGTTACAGTGCTGATCTCCTTTCCCATACCTCTAGCATTAGAAAAGCATCACTTTGTACAAAGTGCTTATCCCGGAGAAGGTTTGCTCTTAGCCAGTCTTACAA